ATTGTATGATTCCTTCCCTGAATTTACATAATCTGGTACTAGATATTCATTTTTCTGTTCTACAAGCCATTCATTCTCAATTAACATAATTAAGCTGATCAGGACGATTTGTATATACTTTAATCTTCCTTTCCTATAAATATACAGTCAGCCATCCACATCTACAAGCTTAACTTAGGTGGATTTGTTCATTCACAGATTTAATTAATATGGTCTCTCTATGAATCTTTGGGTCCAATAGTGTGACTCTATTATTGGGCGAGTGAGCTTATTAACGAAAGGCCCTCCCATGAATGTACAGCAGAGTAACGTATAAGTAGCAGCGTGACCCATCACCAGTAGCCCAAAGTGATAAAAACAAAAATACACAGACCAATGTTATCTCTTCCAAAGGAGGCTTTTCTTTATAGTAAAATAATATAGTTGCAGTATTTACAATAAGGTTTCTATAACACAAATAAACAAATACATAGTAGTTTAAAACTCAGAAGTGTTTATACTGGAGCTTTGCACACAAGGTTTTTCTCATACCAGGTCTTCCTCATACTGTGAGGTCTACCTCATAGAGAAGCCTCCTCACACAGACTGAAGAGTTCCCTCACTGAGGCAAACTAACACTAACAGGCTTCAGCCTACTCACTCCCCTCGGGGTGATGCTAGCTTTGGTCCACTAACTCTAACAGGTTTCAGGCTACTAACTCTTTCAGTGTTTCACTTACATTTTTGTAATCAAAAATACCCAGTTAATATAATAATAACCCTCATACCCAAAACCTTTCCTTCCCTTCCCCCCCTTTTTTCTTCCCCCCTAGCCCTTACCCCATTCCTTTTCCTACCCCCTACTGTCGTTTTCATACTGTACCCTCCCCTTTCCCTAAGACCCTTCTCCTCCTTTTCCCCCTTCCCTCCTGTTTTTATGTATTAAATTATTTCAATAAGATATTAAAAAGATACCCAGTTAATATTTAATATTTTTGACATCTATAGTCAACATCCTCTGGGGAGATGATAATAAATTCACACATACAGAGTATAATAATAATAATAATAATAATAATAATAATAATAATAATAACTTTATTTGTATTTCACCACATCTCCCCAAGGGGACTCAGGGCGGATTCCAACATCACAATAGCAAACATTCAATGCTTACATAAAACATATGATACTGACATAAAGTCCCAGAAAAACCCCACATTTAAAAATAGTATTAAAACCTAACATCAAATTAAAAACCTAGCATCAGTAAATTAAACTTGACATCTATAAATTAAACTACACAGTCAAACTAAATTCTATAATAACATAAATCTAAACAAAACATCCACACTAGTGTACAACCACCAGCAAGGGTTCATCGAAAAGAGCGAGTTGGTTATGTGGTCATTGGGTTGGTGTAAAAAAACCCCAATCCGTCGTGATTTTTTAAAAAATTCTTGGTTTTTCTGTTTTCATGGGCCTCCTGCACCTGTAACTCCAATGAATGTGGAGCACTAACGGTACAGTCAAAATGCAAATCTCTCCCTTTAAAGAAGATATCAGTATGTACATCAAATATCTTTCTCCGTTTTGCAGTGGGTTGTCAGTTCAGATTGTTCCTTGGATTGTTTTCTTTACCCTGAAATTTGTTACATGATGAAAACAACCTTTAGGTGCAATTCCGGTGAAGTTTTAAAAGAATCCTACATGTTTTCCTGTAGAAAACTAATAATGTCACATCCTTCAGTATCCTCTTGGATATCTCTGAATTTTAAATTACATTTTCTTAACAAAATGTCCAGATCTCCAGTCCTTCTCTTCAATTTGTCTATTTATTTTTTTGTGACCACTTATCTGTAATAGTTTTCTAAGGCTGAATCTACACTTCCATATAATGCAGTTTCTGAATTCAGATTATTTGCTTTGAACTGGATTATATGAGTCTACACTGCCACATAATCCAGTTCAAAACAGATAATCCAGTTTCTGAAACTGGATTATATGGCAGTGTAGATGGGGTCTCAGTGGCCCAGTCCAATGCTCAAACCACTATACCATACTGGTTCTCAGAACCTATGCTCCCTGACTGCAAATAAACAATGCGGAAATCTCACAGTGAAACTTAATTCCTTTAATCATTAGCAAATAAATGAGTCTGCAGAAAAGAGTTCATTTTTAAAGCTTCAAACATTTTATTCAGTAATTAGAAAACAGTAATAAGTATCCCCAGCTGTTCTCTAAGTGTTCCTTAAAGCAGTTACGGCTATAATCATTAAGGGGAAGATTTGGTTTTTTTGAAAAAACATGGTTTGCCAAACATTTTATCTGCATTTCTTATTTTCCCCAGAATAATGCTCGGGAAACATATCCCTGGCAATGCCAATTGATAAAGTTCATGAATAAGAAAGTGCAGGCTGTTTGGGTCTAGGAACCCTGTAGCTCTGGAAGTGGTTCTGCATTTGTTTGACTTATATTGAGCTGAGTCTAGTTGGTAGCTCAAACTAAATGCATTGAATTAACTCTTCAATTGTGAGTCGACACTTATGTAAATCTGGTTTCCTAGAATTGAGTTTATCCATAAGTTTTAGGTACTTATGTCAATACTGAAACAATTTGGGCAGGTAAATTTTTTCTTCTACCTGAACTTGACCAGTGGGTATACTGGCAGATATCCCTCTCCACATAGGCTAGAGAAAATGCTGCCTTCTCACCTGCACAGGCAGCAGCTACCTTTTACCACCAATAAGCCAGGTATTAATTGGCTTCATTGGCCACTTACATGGATGATACCATTGTCTTAAATATAAGATTACAAAGTAGGAGGAAGGTGACAAAGTGAGATTCAGAGCAGGAGAGAGAGAAATGGAGTCTACTGCAACTGCAGCATTATTATTATTATTATTATTATTATTATTATTATTATTATTATTAAACTTTATTTGTACCCCGCTAGCATCTCCCGAAGGACTCGATGCGGCTTACAAAGGCCAAGGCCTCAATACACAGCATAACAATACAAACCTAAAGCAAATTAAAAACAATTAAAGCAATATTAAACAACAAAACAACAAGCAATAAACAATACACCAGAACACAATAAAACTGGGCCGGGCCAGAGTGAAGGGTACAGAGTTAAAAGTGCTGATGTGACAGGTGATATGTAAGGATTATAGGGTAAGTGCAGTGTGCAGTGTGCGGCAATCTTAGTTCTAATAAAGTGCTTATGGGACTTGGTATTGGAGATTTCCTATTCTGAGAAGGCACATCGGAACAGCCAAGTCTTCAAGTTCTTTCTGAAGACTGCCAATGTAGGAGCCTGTCTAAGATCTTTGGGGAGGGTGTTCCAGAGTTGGGGGGCCACCACGGAAAAGGCCCTATCTCGTGTCCCCACCAAATGCGCTTGCGATGCAGGTGGGATCATGAGCAGGGCCTCTCCAGATGAACGAAGTGAACGCGTGGGTTCATAGATGGAGATGCAGTCACGCAGGTAGGCTGGTCCCAAACCGTTCAGGGCTTTGTAGGTAAGCACCTGCACCTTAAATTGGGCTCGAAAGATAAACGGCAGCCAGTGGAGCTCCTTGAACAGGAGGGTTGACCTCTCTCTGTAAGGAGCGCCAGTTAACATCCTGGCCGTTGCTAGTTGGACCAGTTGAAATTTCCGAGCCGTTTTCAAGGGCAGCCCCACGTAGAGCGCATTACAGTAATCCAACCTAGAGGTGACCAAGGCATGAACCACCCCGGCCAGATCAGCCTTCGCGAGGTACGGTCACAGTTGGCGTACAAGTCTTAATTGTGCAAAAGCCCTCCCAGACACCGCCGACACCTAAGCCTCAAGCGTAAGCGATGAATCCAGGAGGACTCCCAAACTGCGGACCTGTGGTTTCAGGGGGAGTGTAACCCCGTCCAACACAGGTTGCCACCCTATACCCCGGTCAGGTTTACAATCGACCAGGAGGACCTCTGTCTTGTTGGGATTGATCTTCAGCTTGTTCTTCCTCATCCAGATAGACACAGCGGCCAGGCACTGGTCCAGGACCCGGGAGGCCTCCTTGGAATTGGGTGGAAATGAGTAATAGAGTTGTGTGTCATCTCTTTGCAAATGCCTGGTAGTTTCCATCTTTCTCTTTGTGGAGTTGGCCGGAAAGTGGAAATTGGCCTGGCTTCTGCATCAGGTGAAGGATGTGAGATGCTGATCCTTATCACACTATACTATTATTGCACTTTTATTCCACTTTTGCTTCCATGGCAGCATCCAGTGGATTTCTGGGATTTGTAGTTCAGTGAGAATAAAGAGCTCCCTGGCTGAGAAGCCAAAATGCTTCTCCTTGATCTGCAAATCCCAGGATTCCTTATGATGTGGCCTAGGCAAGTACAATAGAATAATAGTGCTATAGTAATAAAGTGTGATAAGACCCCCCCCCCCGCCACCACATTGGAGAAGTATATAAGAAAAGGTGTTGAGTGAACATATATAAGAAGAATGAGGGGGCCACCTAGGAAAAGGAAGAAGAGTTATTTACCTATGTTGAGGGCCAGCCCTGGTCATGCTGCTGTGTCATTGTTAAAAAGTTACTGTATGCAGATCTAATGAATGTTAATAGTGCTGGAACTGTGTGGCAATGGCTGGACAGGCTTTGGGATATATCTGTAATACTATGACGTATTAATTATGAACAGTCACGCTTCACAGTGCATCATTTGGTTGTTCCATCCACCAATGGTGAATAATTTGTATTCGTATCTTGTTGTGCATGGAGAGCACCACAGATTGAGAATATTATTTGTTATTTATTCTCCTGTGACTTGTATTGTGGTCTCCAGGAAAGGGTTATTGTACTTCTGTTGGAAGGAATGTCTGAGTGATGTTTTGTTGAACATCATTCAGACATTTGTAATAAATTGTTTTGCTGAAAAAGCCACTAATTGCCAACTCTCTTTGCATTAACTTGGCAAGACTCAATGCTCTTCTTATAACATCATGTCTTCATTTCCCTCTTTCCTTCCTTCTGTCCTTGTAGAAAATCACTCCTGCTCAATTGAGTTTGGAGGACTTTCTGGAAATGACAGATGAACAGGTCAGTGAGACAGCGGAGAAGTATGGGGCCGACAAAGAGGAGTGTGCCAGACTCAATGCCTCCCTTGCCTGCCTCAAGATGGCTCTCAAATCAGGTGCGCTGCATGCTAACTCTTTTTCCTAGTGCCCATGAGTGAGAATGGCTGCACCTCTTCATGAGCTGCTTGTGTTGTCTCTCTTTTTCTGTACTTCCTGTTCTTGTGAGTAGTGGGGGATGCCATTAGCATGGGAAGAAGGCAGACCAGCAAAGGTGGTGATCCTGCTTCAATGTTGGTGTGATTAAGTCCTGTGAAAGAAGTCAGGAGGTGTCAATATTCTCAAGGTTTGCAGAAGCTGGGAAAAAGATAAGAGCTATCCTGTATCTCCTAATCTAGTGATTTTCTTGGTCTGTGAAATAGCTGCTGGACAGTGCTTAGTGAAATGCTTCCCGTCCAGCAGCCAAGCAGCCACAAATTGGTCATTGGGATGGCACTGAGAATGCTCTCTTGTGCCACCTCCCAGATGACTGTTTCTGCTCTCCTGGATCTCCGTAGAAGTAGGCTATAGGAACTTCACACTACCAATTGCAAATGGGATTTCAACGTGAGCTTGATGCCTCCTATACTGGCTAGTCACAAGATTTGCTAAGTGTGCTAGTGTTCTTTTTTTTTTTAAAAAACGAAAGCTCCAAGATCCATCAGAAGCAAAACAAGAGCCAAGGAAGCAGAGCAGCAATCATAGGAAGAAAACTACTGTTAGATTTGTGTGGAAATTTGCCTCTGAGCGCATCCTTAGTTCAAGTATTTATTTTAGAACTATAAGTGGGTCTGTATTCTTTTTAAAACAAACCCATTCCAGGGTGTATGTGACAGGTCACTGTTTTGTTGATGCTGTTGCTGAACCATTGAGACTAAAACATTTTTGTAAATTCACCTCAAAATCCATCAGTTGGCTCTCATATACTTTCAGTTTGTCTTGTATACATAGGACCGTTGCTTGCATTTCATTTTTGGAACAGCAGAGGGCACTGTGGAATAATACAAGCAGTCTCAGTTGAAGTTAGTTGGGGAACTTGCCTAGAAATTAACATGAAGACAGGAGCCCCGGTGGTGCATTGGGTTAAACCCTTGAGCTGGCAGGAATGCTGACCAATATGTCAGCGGTTACCCCGGGTGATGTCCTTGCAGATGGCCAATTTTCTCACACCACAAGCGACTTGCAGTTTCTCAAGTCGCTCCTGACACACACAAGCTTGAAGACACTCTGGGTATATAGACAGTCATTAGTTAGATATAGTGGTTGCTTGTATATTCATAGTAGGTGGGTGACTGCACCCGTCTTGGCGTCTGGTTGTTTTTCCTGTACTGTCTGATGGAGTGGGTTGCTGAATGTTGTTTTGTTCCACTTCTTCATCTTTCTGCTTGCATTATGGATTTAATAATATATAGTTGTATATATAATATGATTACTTCTAATTCTCTTTGAGTCTAATCCACACCAATGACCCACAAAAGAGGGAAGAGTAGTTGGATCTCCTGCTTCTCATTTTTCTTGTCACTTTTCACATGTTCAGAGAGGAGAGGCAAATGAGGGTCAACAACAAGGGGGAAGAGAAGTAGGGCCACGCTATTCTGGTTGCCAGATGGAAGCCCCTTATTGGATTGCAAGTGCCTGGTGATGCCAATGGCACATATGGGTGCCACGTGGTTCCCATGTGGTGCACATGAGTAGGAGCACATAGACCCCATCTACACTGTCATACAATCCAGTTTCTGAATATAACTGCATCAAATTGGATTATGTGGCAATGTTGATCCAACCTGGCATTCCCAACAGATCCCAGGAGAACAGCTGTACATTCCCTCTCTGTTCTCCAGCATGTTTTGTTTTTGGTTTTCAAATGAAAGTAGTGTAAAAGTGCAGTAAAGATGTAATGCACATCGCCACCACTAGGTTCAGGAAAAGTGTGAATGAAGAGGAAATATACAAAAGTTTTCAGAACTGACTAGTATGACAGGCACACCAATCTTTTGCAGATGCAATAACCATATTTTGGGACTCCTTTTATTACCTGTCCCTTAAGCTGTGTGCAATCAAGTGTCAAGAAAGCTTACCACATGGGTGAATTTTTAGTCATCCTAATACAAGTATCTGCCAGGAAAGAGCACTCACAACAGCTGTGATTAACCAGCCTGGAAGCAAAGGGTCAGCTCACAGCTATGTTGCGTATGGTTCAAATAACTGTATGATTTTCTAAGCTAGAGGTGCCTCCTGACAAGGCATCTATTCTCCAAATGCCCTAATGTAGTGACAGAATTTTATTTGAGTCCAGATGGAGTCAGCGTCTGCTTGCAACCCATTTGTGTGTCTTTAGGCTTTTATCTCGTATGGGCATGTAGATGGGCAAGTGAGAATGGACGGCAAAGAGGAAAAAAATTCTTCAGTGTGGTATTGACCCTGGGAAGTATTGAGTTGCGCTGTGTCATAGGGAAACGAGTCATAGCTTCATGCTTTGCCTTTTCTTTACCTAGGAAGGAAATTGACTTTTGGAGTTTTTTTCTTTTTAAAAAAGGAGAGGGTTTACCCCCCTCCCCCTGTAATTGCAGTTTGGGTTCTCTTCCCTGTCTGACCTTCCTTCTTGTCTTCCTTTATACATTACATTAAATTTAACATTTTAAAAAGACATACATGTGTTGCCTTCGGCAGAATGTATATACTCAATCCATACCTATTTACCAGAAATCTATCCGCCTACCTGCTCTTTTCCTTTTTTTTCCTTTGACTCTCACTCCCTCCTTGTCTTTTTTCCTATCAAGTTCCTAGATCTTAAGGCAGCGCAGGAATGAAGGGTGGTGCTTTGAAGAAGGAGGTACTGACAGGCAATGAGAAGTTTAAGATCATAGAGCATTTTGAACTCCCCAAATACAGGCTAGGAAAATGACTGCGGTACCTTTAAAGTGTGGTGTATGTCTTTTTAGTTGCAAGTGCATGGAGATGGAAGAGCCCAGATGGAGAGTAATAAATTAGGGTAAGGGACAATGTCAATGTTGGTTAATGAATCATTAATTAGGACATATCTCCACAGAGCTAATGTGCTGAAAGATTGTGGGGGGGGGGGGGAAGGACCTTCTGCCTTATCCTTGTAGTGTGAACTACGCTTCTCATCCCTGTATTTTAGGACAGAGGACACAACAGATCTTCCATATTATTGTATCTTTGTTAGTCGTTGCAGTAGCCTACATCTGAATATCAGATGTGCTGGACTACAACTCTCATCATCCACATGGCCATGCTGGTTAGAGATAATGGGAGTTGCAGTCCAACATATGTGGAAACTAGGGGATTTTAATTAGAGCAGAAATAGGAGATTGATTATTCTCCATAAGTTGTTGAGGTATGGTTCATAGCATCCTTTGCCATTGGCTACCCCAGCTAAAGCTAATGGGAACTGCAATCCACCAACATATATAGAAGCCACAAGATATCCACCCCTCATGTAATATAAAGTAATCCAAGGGGTGCTGGTGTCTCATTGATTAATTGGTTAAAAGTAATTTTAACTCATTCCATATCAATGGATCTCATGGTTGGTATGTTGAATAACACTGCTTTAAAACAAAGATAAACTTTAAAAAATTAAAAATACAGACAAAACAATATTCACAGTCTAGTAACACAAAAACTTCACCGTCATCTCTGTGGCCCAATGCTTGGGTGAACAGTTAGGTTTTTAATTGGACAGCAAAAAGAAAAAAAAGTTGCTGCCAGTCCTCTTCAAGGGGAGGGAATTCCATAGCTGAAACTACATCCACACCTTCAGAATTACAGCAGTGTGACACCTTAACTGCCATGGCTCAATGCTGTGGAATTCTTGGATTCATAGTTTGGTGAGGTATTTACCTTTCACTGTCAGAGAGTTCTGGTGCAACAACACACAACATGGCTTTTACCTTCTTGACTTTCATAATAATCCCTTAAGGTAGGTCAGAACAGGCGAAAAACTAACTCAGGATTATTCAGTGAGTTGTATGGCTCAGGCTGCATCTACACCGTAGAATTAATGCATCTTATTCCACTTTATAATCCACTTATAACTGTCTGGCTCAATGCTATAGGATCATGGGAGTGGTAGTTTGTTAAGGCACCAACACTCCTTGGCAGAGGCGGCTACAGTGAAACTACAACTCCCAGGATTCCATAGCAGTGAACTATGTCAAACACCACTTAAACTCCACAATGTAGATGCACACCTAGTCTCCCAAATCCAGTATTTTAACCACTGCACTGCACCTTTGAGATGCCTTTGGTCAGGCATGTAGCCAGGGGGAGGGGGCTCGGGGGGCTTCAGCCCCCCCCCCCGAAATTCTCATGGTGGTTCGCGAAAAGGCCTTACTGGTGCATTATTTAAACTGTTATGTTTATTCATATCATGATCTGATCACCATACTCAATATATCCATATGCATGGGGGTATTGGGTAATGATACAAAAGGTTTGCTAGGGTAGACCCTCTTTCACTCAGACTCAGCCCCCCCCCCGAAACTCACCCCCCCGAAACCCCCCCTGAAAATTTTTTAGCCCCCCCCCCCCGAAATGAAATCCTGGCTACGGGCCTGCCTTTGGTCTCTTCTTGGACTCCACATCTCCATTTGCCCCCCCCCCCCCCGCAACCTCTGGTTCCAATTCATAGGTCTGTCCTGAGAAAAGCAAAGCAGCCAGAAGGTATGAATGCTGCCCCCTCACCTTGTTCCTTTCTCTGTTTCCAAGCAATATTTGTGTTGCCTCAGATAATCCCTGCATAACTGTTGAATTGTGATCAGCCTGAAAGGTTCTTCGAGTACAGAAGAATAGTTAAATGTGGACAATTTATTTTTAAAGAACCCCCTGCTGCCCCCCCCCTTACACACACCACATTTTTCCTTTTGCTAATTAAATAGATATGCCAGTGAAGACGGACAAGCGTGACAGGAGATGGGCAAGGGGCTACTTAATAAACAAGGAGGGGATGTGTATAGACTCTGCGCCACATTCAGGAGCTTCACGGTTCGGTGTCACGGATAAAAGGTCACCTGTGTCACCACGCCGTCACTTCCTCAGGATGGCTGTCTGGCAGATG